GATTTTCTGAATATTTTGATATTTTTGCACCCTCAGATTTTCAAATAAATTTATTTCAGACAAATATTTTCCTATCCTTACAAACCATACATCAATCAATGGTAAGCTTTTTCAGCTTTCAGATGATGTATAAATCTCAATTAAAAAAAAATTACCTTATGACTTTGAGGTTTTGTAGTCCAGGGTCACATGTTTTATTTGATTTATTTTCCGTTGAAGCTTTATCAGGGTATAATTATAATTTAATGTAACCAATTTCAGTTTGTAGCAGCCAGGATTCAGCTCATAAATGTTTAGCAATAATGCTATTTTATATGTATAAAAAAGTCAGTTTTGCTAAAACTGTCGTACAATCACATTTCTAAAAATATTTACAGCACGCCAGTTGCGACATTTCTGCTATCCCTGTCATGTGAATCATTTCAACCGTTTCATGGAAAAGATCCGACTCAAAAGAGCGATTCATTCACGAACCGGACATCGCTAGTGGTCATGACTCATTAGTGGACGAGTAGGCTACAGACACACGCACACACACACACACACACACACACACACAGTGTACTCTTTTCAAGTAAAACAGTGTCCGTGTCCTGTAGAATGCGTAGAATCTTCGTACATTTAGTTTGTGCGTAGTTATCGCTCTTCTGTCTTTAGTATTTTTGTTCAGTAAACATGACGCTGAAAGTTTTTCGCCTGTTTTAAAGCAAGTTAGGGCGCCACTGGAGCCATCCGTCGCGAAGAACTTAAATGGAGTAAAATCAAAACGACCCACACAGACCGCTGTAAATCAGATTTGTTTCATTCATTTTGTTTAAAGACAATGTTTGTTTGGCGGAATTCACTTAAGTGACGTTTTAAAAGTTTTGTTTGTTTTGAAAGGATGAATTTTATCTTCTATATTATTCGCATAGGAGGTCAGAAGTACAGGAAACGTCCAACACTCCGAATCCACATGAAAGGAAAACGATGCGCATGACAACAGCCTGTGTAATTCCAGACTGACTCGAAGGTGTTCGCACCTAACTTACCTGTACTGATTCATTGTCAAGGGAGAGCGCTGCTGGCATGTCGAGAACGTTGTTGAGATGTTGAGCAGTGATGCGACAGACCACAAACTGCCAAATCACGCCTTTCTCACGCACACCTGTTTCAGCTGGTAGGCTCAGATTACAGGCAAATGGGTGATATTGTCTTGAATTTCTGTAATTGATTGAACTTATCTCAGGAAAAAAAACAAAACAAAACAAAAAATATATATATACACACACACACACACACACACACACACACACCAAATAACCCCACAAGAGTAGTAAAACCTGACATTTTTGACATTGTGGGGACCAGCCTGCAGTCCCCACGAGGGAAAAAAAAAATTAAAAATAGTAAATGATGTTTATCTGAAAGTTTAACAGTGCAAAAAAATAAAATTCTGTAAGGGGTAGGTTTAGGGTTAGGAGATAAAAATATCATTTGGTCAGTATAAAAGTAGTAGAAGTCTATGTAAAGTCTCCACAATTCACAGAAACAAATGTGTGTGTGTAAACAAAATGATATATATATATATAAATATGTATGTACGTTTGCATGCATGTATGTATATATATATATATATATTATATAAAAACTATTTGTAAGACCTATTAGATGTTTAATAAACTATTATAATAAAAAACATGAAATATATGTTAATAATTATCACGTCATTAATTTTTTACATTAATTTCGATGTTTATTTAATGTATCTTGCAAAAATGTTAAACTAGAAAATATAAAATTAGGGAATAGAAACAGCTCTTTTTGTTGGAGATGTAGTTGTGGTATTGTTTATTTACTAATCCATCATTTTATCAGCCAATCTCTGTTTTTTTTTTCTTTGTTGTGATACCTATAAGATACATTTAGTAAGATCAAATATCTTAGTGCATCACATTTAGTTGAAATTTGTAGTTTAGTTTGTCACCTTTTTTTAATTTTTAAAAGTTTTTTTCCTATTTAATTTTGACACGTATTGTTGAAATACATTTTTTTTTAATTATAAACTAAAAACAGCTCCTTTAAAATGTAGTTTCTGTCATTTTCTGAACAGAGAGAGCAGCTTCTTTTTGCAGATCATTTGTTGGAAAAGAAGTGGTGGTCTTATTTACTCATCAATCTTTTTATCAGCCCATTTAGTTTTTTTTTTCCTTTGTAGTGAGACCTATTAGATAGCTTTTGTTAACTATTATAACAAAGTTACTTTTAAACAAATGTTAAATGTTTAATTCAAATGTTTTTTTTCTTTGCCCATCTTATTACATAAAAAATTGTCTGTTTAATTTTGATATTTAATGATTATTGCAAACTTGACTGCAAATTATTAGAAAATAAAACTTATATTTTATTTTATTACTCATATTTTATACATTATTAACTCATAATGAAGCTCATTTCAAAATTCAATATTTTCTAAAGGATAAGCATCTCCTTGCACTGACTGTTTGTTTGAAAATAAGTAGTAGCTAGTTTATTTACTCATGTTGTTCAGTAAAACTAAAACTGATCTATTTACAGAGATGTTGCGCACAAGGTGAATTCACCTGGACAGCGAGAGACGATGCAGCTGGCTGTGGTGGCTTGTGGAGAGAGACATGGAGAAGCTGTCAACATGCTCAAGACCGCAGCAATGCTCAGCAGCCAAGCCTTGAGATTTCACATCTTTGCAGAGGAGCAGTTACACACCAGCATAAAAACAGCAGTCAGTATGAGCCAGTTGTCATTTCTGACATATGCATGCACATCTACAGTGGGTACGGAAAGTATTCAGACCTCCTTAAATTTTTCACTCTTTGTTATATTGCAGCCATTTGCTAAAATCATTTAAGTTAATTTTTTTTCCTCATTAATGTACACACAGCACCCCATATTGACAGAAAAACACAGAATCGTTGACATTTTTGCAGATTTATTAAAAAATAAAAACTGAAATATCACATGGTCCTAAGTATTCAGACCCTTTGCTCAGTATTTAGTAGAAGCACCCTTTTGATCTAATACAGCAAAATTTAAGGGGGTCTGAATACTTTCCGTACCCACTGTATGTTGTTTCACAAGAATGTGCATGTGTTTCCAACATTAAAGGGAATACATGTCATTTTAAATGGTCAATGTAATTTCTCCAAATCTGTTCTGATGAAGAAACAAACTCATCTACATCTTGTATGGCCTGAGGATTAGTCAATTTTCAGCAAATTTTCATTTTTGGGTGACCTATTCCTTTAATCTGCTACTAAACTGTTGAGAAACTGTATAAAGAGATGAAAGATTTACTCTTTTCCAATGCATTTTCCACTTGTACAGCTGGATTCCTGGCCAGCTTTCATCCGAGCAAAATTCAGCTATGTTGTTCACTCCATTTCATTCCCCCATGAGAACCATGAAGAGTGGAGTCAGCTTTTCAAGCCATGTGCATCACAGAGACTCTTCTTACCAGTGAGTAATACTGCAATTTAAAGTTTAGTTTAAAATATCTACAACTATTTTAAGCAAAAGCTGATTTTTTTGGCTTATGTCGTTTAAAAAAAAGGTTACAGTGATTGCACTAGAAAATGCTGCTTTCCTTTTGTAAGATGTCAAAAAATTCATATTACTCTTTTCTGAAATAGCAATGTTATTTTTCTAAAAATAGAAAATGAATTTGCAGTTTGACAAACTATTTGCGATTCCATTCTTCTCTCTACAGATGATGCTGAAGGAGGTGGACTCCTTACTCTACGTGGACACCGATGTCCTCTTCCTGCAGCCTGTAGAGCTGATCTGGGACATGTTGACGCACTTCAACTCCACACAGTTAGTAGCCATGGCACCAGAGCATGATTGCCGCGGATTGCCTGGTGTAGTCGCTTCTCCCGGCATTCGTATTATGGAAAAACTGGCATCAACTCTGGCGTCATGCTGATGAATTTGACCCGGATGCGAATGACACAATTCAAAGTGAGATTAAAGGGCCGGACCCTAAACTTTCTTCCTTTATATGAGGGCTGATGTACCTGGACAGAGCTATTCGTGCTCAATCTGGATGTCGCCATCTTGTTTCAAAGGCAAACATGTTTTGGCCAATCATGTGGGCTGCAAATGTCATGTGACATTCTATATTACTATATTAAAACACCTACCATCAAACAGAAATAATTTTTTTTTTATATAAAATTTAAAAAGAATATAATTCATATAAAAATACAAAACACAAATAAAATATCAAAAATAAAAAGATTTAATAATAATAATAAATAATATTTACCCAAGTAATATAAAGATATATATTTTAAGTTTGGGCTTGGTAAGATTTCTGAAAAATATTATGAAAGAAGTCTCTTGTGCTCATCCAGGTTACATTTTAATAAAAAAACACAGTAAAAACAGTATTATTGTGAAATATCACTTCAATTTAATATAAATGTTTTCTATTTTAATATATTTTAAAACAAATTATTCTTGTGACGGCAATGCTGAATTTTCAGCAGCCATTAAATCAGCCTTCAGTGTCACATGATCCTTCTGAAATCATTCTAATATGCTGATTTAGTGCTCAAGAAACATTTCATATTATTATCGGTGTTGAAAACGGTTGTGCTACTTATTTAAATACATTCGAGTAAAATATGTGCAAAACATCTATTTATCTATTTATGACCATGTTAATGTTTTTTTTTTAACATGTAATTACATTTGAGTCCAGAAGAGGGGGGTAAAGGTCTCTTTACGCATTACAAAACTCTTTTTCTTTTTTTCGCTCTGCATGGACAGAATGGCATGACTTCTGTTGGTCTGCACTGGGACGAGCTTCTAATGCCTCTGTTACAGGAATACAAGCTTAACATAACCTGGGGTGATCAAGATCTGATCAATATCATCTTCCATTACAATCCAGGTAAGCCTTTCTGGATTTCGTCCATTCCTTATAGTTTTATTCCCTTTCAAGTCTCTATAACATATGTGTGTGTTCACCCAGAGATGGTATTTACCTTCCCCTGCCACTGGAACTACCGTCCTGACCACTGCATCTATGGCAGCAACTGCATCCTGGCAGAGGAAGAGGGTGTTTTAATGCTACATGGCAACAGAGGAGTGTCTCACAGCGACAAACAGCTAGCCTTCCAGGCTGTGTATGACGCTTTCAAACATGTAAGTTGTATTATTTTAGAGGGGATTTGTTAGTTGCTAGTTTTTACTTTTGTTTTTTTTCCCCCATCCATTCCAAAGCTAATAAATCAACTCTTTACTATTTTCTGGCAGTACATATTTGGAGAGGATTTCATAAAATCATTCTTGTTACCTCTGGAGGAGGCGCTGAACGGAACCACTCACACATACGGTGGGAAAGTTAGTCATTTCTTTACCAGAGGACTTGGAATGTCTGTAAGGAAGATCCAGAAAATGCTTCCAGCAGGTGGCTGAGCTGTAATGTTGTTGCTGAATAATGACAGAAATGTATTCTCCGAGACAGGATACGAGTGTCGCTGCTCTTCCATTTGAATCTGTGCAATATTAGTAGAATGGGTTGAATGATGAAATGTGAATTTAAACTGATATTTCTTTTTTATCCTAGTTAAAGGGACAGTAAAAAATAAATAAATAAATACAAATAAAAAGTCATTATTTAGCCAAATGTCATTCCAAATCTGAACGACTTAATTTCCAGAAACAAATAAGGTAAATTGTTGTGACGACTGTTATGCTTCTTTTGTGGTGCTTTTGGATGTACTGTTTCTTTAAGACTGATACTGAATGTACGGCAAGAGGTCATAGCATAAATTGGAAAATACTTGAAAGTGTAAATATCGTGTTCATTTTACATAATGTTCATATGTAATAACAATATATATCACTAATTAGACTTTGTGACCATCACTTTTCATTCCCCACTGAAGAATTACTGGAGCAATAATGAAAAAATATTAAAGGTAAAGTTCACCTAAAAATGAAATTTTGCTGAAAATGTACTCACCCTCAGGCCATCCAAGATGTAGATGAGTTGTTTCTTTACTGGAACAGATTTGGAGATATGTAGCATTACATCACTTGCTCAGCAATGGATCCTCTGCAGTGAATGGGTGCCGTCAGAATGAGAGTCCAAACAGCTGATAAAAGCATCACAATAATCCACAAGTAATCCACACGACTCCAGTCCATCAGTTAACGTCTTATAAAAAGCTACGTGTTTGTAAGAAACCAATCCATCATTATGATGTTTTTAACTTCACTTGCTTCTGGCCAAAATAGGAGTCTATAATCCATAATAATGCTTCCTCCATTAAAAAAAACTTGGATGGCCTGAAGGGTAAGTAAATTATCAGTTAATTTTCATTTTTGGGCGAACTATTCTTTTAAACCTATCATTTTAAAACCAAATAAATCACAGAAAGGATTTAGTACAAGCTACAAACAACAAACTGAAAATGTGGAGTTTAGATTATTTTTTAGAAATTTACATAAAGCTGATAGAACATTTCTGCAATTGACTGGATAAAATAAAATAAACACCTGCTTCTAAACTGTCAGATTTTTTTTTAATACAAAAAAAAAAGTTACAAATTTCCTCCACCAGGGAGCAGCATTGATTCAGGTTTTTATAAAAACGGGCAGTGTCAGAGTGATTACAGTGGCTTTGTTCTGTGATCACATAACACAACAGTAAATACTGAACCACATCCAAACAATATTTTCTTCATCTCATAACAGGCTGAGACATACTTATTTGCAAAGTGAAAAACTGACGTAAATTTAAAACACTACTAAGTTATAGCTCTTGGAGCACAAAAAAAAGAGGAAATGGCCCTGGGAAGTTCTGTAATGAGATCAACGATCAAAATATCATTACTTGGCAACCCTTAAAGCAGTAGTTGTTAATGACACAAGGAAGACCTAACTCATTTATAATATAGAAGCTGACATGCATACAGTCCATTTGAAGCATCAGCAACCTGTGCTTGAAGGCCGCGATGACTTCACAGACTACAGAACACAATGAGGAGACTGATGTCATGTTTCATAGTTACATCTCATGGATCAATGTAGCAGCAAATAATCCATGCCTGGACCACCTGAGGCCATCACAAGAGCTGATTTACAAGAATGTGCAGGTCAAAGGCTAGACCGGATAGAACAATAATGAGGGCCTGTAGGTGGTCATCCTCTTGTATCTGATGACCAGGATGATGATTCTAGAAATCTATATTCCCAACATTTAAAGAGGGAAAAGATTGTGGGGAGTTGTCTGTATCAAGTTTCATCAATTCACTGCTTTTATGAAAATAAACACAGTATTACAGGCCGCACTGCAAAATAATGTTTAAAAAAGTACTACTACTACTGCTACTACTAATAAAATCAATCAATAAAAATTCAAAAGGAAAACATTTGCCTTTTTTATGTTAACTGATCTTCTGATATTATGATACTGATTTCTGTAATTTTATTTGTTTTTAATACTAACACTTATAATAACAACAACAACAACAACAACAACAACAATAATAATACTTTAAAATGACGTTATCCTTAATTGTTTTATCTTAAGGACCTTAAGAATTTATTACAAAAGACTAATAGGATTTAAATAATCCTATTATTATTATTATTATTATTATTATTATTATTATTATTATTACTACTACTACTACTACTAGTACTATTTTAACATTTTGATTGGAGAAAAAAGTAAATTAGACGCAAGTTAACAATTCGACTAATTTTTTCCTGGAAATGAAGTTTTGGAATTATAGTTGGGTGAATAAACAATTATATTTTATTTTATTTATTAAAAATGAGCTATAATAATTAGTAAATGACAGCAGGGGACACTGCAAGAAAGGCATACACTCAAATAATGTAGTGATAAATAAACAAACAAACAAAAACAAATAAATAACCACTCAAAAGTTTACTTTATGACATTGTGATAAAAACTATGAATTTCATGATTTAAACCTAAAAAAAACAAACAAATTTTAATACTAATATATGTTTAATACTAATATACTGAGATATCAGAAGTGATATGACCCAGTTCATTTGTTAAATCTTTTTTTAAAACAAAACACCATTTATTGGCATCTTCTTTCATAGCATGCCATTATGCTTTTTACATCCGTTCACTCTTATCACTTCAGTTCATAGACAGTAGATTAACATTGAGTCTAAAACAAAAAATCTGAGGGTCTATTGTCCATTTCCTCATGTGTGTGTCCTCCATTGAACCCTGCCAGTCTGAATCAGACCCTCGTTTACAATGGGTCCTCTATCTTTGCTTTCCTTTCCATCATTTCTCCCTTGGACAATATTTACCTCAAGTGGCAACAAATAGATGTTTTTTCAGCTCGACAGAAAAGCAGCCTGAGATTTGGTGAAAGAGACCTTATCTCTCATTCCCATTTCCCCCCAGTGAGCTTTTCAATTAGGTAATTACGGTCATGTGAAAGAAGACTCGGCAGAGAGCCCCGCTGCATTGTGGGAGCACCTGTCCCCCACAGACGCCAATTACCTGGCACATGAACCGTCCCCATTGTGTGGGTGCTCAGAGGGGTCCGAGTCTGCAGGAAATGCAAACACTGCCAATGCGGCGTCTAATCAATGGGCGAGCGGTGGCTGTGAAACAGGTACACAGGAAGAGAAATAAATGAGCAGGCTGCTTTTCTCACTTGCTTATTTATGCATTTGTATTCAGATTGAAAGCGCACAAACTCACAGTGAAGCTTAGAAACACATTGCAGGACTCAACACTAGACTATGAATTTAATCACAATATTCCCTTTGCTATGGGCATTTTGGGGTGCCATATTCTTCACTCAAAAATAAAAACAGTGTCCTTTACTCACCTTCATGTCATTCCAAACCTGAGTTTCTTTCTTCTGTGGGACACAAGACAATATTTGAAAAATGTTCACATAATTCAATGTGGTGCAATATTTTTTGAACTCAGTTTACTGAAGTGTTAGTTTGCCAAATATGGATTGAAGTATCAATACGTTCAACATCCAAATAAGTTTTAGTTAGTTGGATTAAATTTATTGGCACTCCTAGTTTCTACAAATAAAAAAAAAAGCAACTAAAATAATTACAGTGAATTACATTTCATAATTCCAGTCATTTTAGGAGCTGATTGTTTTTCAAGGATCCCAGTTTTTTAATAAACAAATTTACATTACTCTTCCAGCTGTTCGCAGTTTACTGAATAGGGATTGTAAAAATATTGTTTTACTCAATTTCTGCCTGGTAAAATATTTTAGAGCTTGGCTTAACTAGAATGAATATTACTAAGAAGAAAAAAGAAAAAAAAAAAGAAAACAATACTTGTAAAATTAGACTACTTCATATTGGCACCAAAGATCTACCAACTTTGGTGAAACACTGCCCAGATCAGGTTGGAAGACCACCAAACCAGCTTAAGATGGTTTAAGCGTTTTATTTTTTTTTTTTAAGAGAGTTTTTGACTGAATACCTTTTGAAGCTTTAATAAATCATTTAAAAATGAAAAAGCCTTGAAGGTAAATCTTGGTATTATCTAAATAGTCAGGGTTCGATAACAGCATCTGCATTTTTCATTCAAATCATTATTGTTGGACCACTGAACTTTTACTTCTTAATTCAAAAAAGTAATCAGATTACTTTTTTGTAATCTGAAACTAGCAAAAGGAAAGCTTTAAAGTGAATTCAATACAAAAACAATAAAGAACAAAGATTCACCGAACATTGCATTAAAAAAAAAAGAAAAAAAAAGAAAAAGAAATAAATGACTGAGCGCACAGCAGATCATAAATAGAGCTAAATTAGACTAAGCGAGACCTTGAGTGGGCACAATCATCATGAGGGGAACAAGAAACAACCAACAATGAACAGACAAAAAAAAAAAAATTCAAAATAAGACAAGACAAATAAACCTGCATCTCTTACTGCAGAAAACACCCAGAAACCAAAAGAAATACATCAGCGATGAAGCCATTTCCTGTGATATGTATCACAAACGTCACTTTTATTCATCACTCTGCTACTGAATATATGTGCTTCTGGTGACCTGAATAGACATCTCTTCTCTCTTACTCTATGTGAAGCGAGACACCTTCTGTCTCCCAAGTGAGCCAATTTACGCTCGAGTCCACTTCTTCATTGTGTGCTGCATCGATTCAGTTTTAACTCTTTTCCTTGATAAAGAAGCCCAGTGACTGCATCTCTTACTGCAGAAAACACCCAGAAACCAAAAGAAATACATCAGCGATGAAGCCATTTCCTGTGATATGTATCACAAACGTCACTTTTATTCATCACTCTGCTACTGAATATATGTGCTTCTGGTGACCTGAATAGACATCTCTTCTCTCTTACTCTATGTGAAGCGAGACACCTTCTGTCTCCCAAGTGAGCCAATTTACGCTCGAGTCCACTTCTTCATTGTGTGCTGCATCGATTCAGTTTTAACTCTTTTCCTTGATAAAGAAGCCCAGTGAGCTGGATGCAGATGTCTGCAGGGTGAAATGGCAATTCAATGAAATTTCATTCAGGAAATGAGAGCGAAACTCAACCTGTGGGCTTCAAAGTGGCAAAACATGTCAGTCAGCTGCCCATAGGGTGATTCAAATCATTATTTAAGTGTATGTCAATGAAGAGAACATACTGGTGTGAGATTAAAAGTCTGCAACAAACCCGCCTTTACATTTGTTATATTACACTAATGGAAATTATTTTTTGTTGTTGATAAAGGAGAGGAGACAATTCCTTTAAGATACTAAGAGTAAATATTGGTGCTGTGGTTGGTATGGTACCTGAGCAGAGGAAAATACCAAGGACATCTTCAGGGAGACAGACACACTTTGATCCGAGTTAAAGCTGAGAGGCACTAGGTTTGACAAGTTATATAACTTTCACTTTTGTGACTTAGTTTGTGACTGACTGTGTGTAACTTGTGGCTGGGAGAATGGAAGAGGAAAGAGAGAGAAAAATTGACCTAATCAACATGATTAAAAGTCCAAAATGAAATTGCAGTGAAACAATGTTAATGGGTAATGAATAAAAATGTGATGTTCACGCCCTTGTTAAATGAAATCAAAATGGAAAGTTATAGTTTGGTACACTAATGGTAATTTTCCACCATTTTCTAACACATTTTTGCCTTTTGCAGTTATATAAAGGTGTAGTTTATAATTTCCATTTATAACCACTTCATTTAAAGGAAAAAAAATGCAAGACATAAAAAAATATATAATATAATATAATATAATATAATATATAACAAAAATGATCACAAAGTGAAACTGCAAAAATAATAATAAAAATTTAAAAAAAAGTTTTCAAACAGGTTTCCTGAACTCTCCACCTTTCTAACACTGGCGAAATAGACAGTTTACTTATTTTTTTTTTTTTACTTATTACTATTATTTTTTATTATGCATAAATATTCTATTTAATCACTCCATTATTATGAGCTCATAAAACCTGAATTAATAAATTGTCTATTTTTTATTATAATTCTTAATTTTAAATGATTTTTAATTAAATGGAACAAAGCTGTAACTAGGGCAGCAACCTTCAAAAGTACATTTTTGTATCTTAATGGTACATATTAGTACAGTTCTGCCCAACTGACAGCTGTTGTACCATTTTTCTGAGAGTGAGGCATATCACATCACAAGACACTACAATCACCTTCCCAAACATCATCTACCCAATTGGTTTTCAAACCATTAAACCTTAAATGCACTTTGGTAAAAGCAACATCATTTAAACTCAGTCAAGCGAATGGTGTTATGAACACAAAGTATAATCATGTTTGATTTCTGTGGATACATGTGAGGGGTGCACAGGTTCAAAAAGTGCTGTGCTTGCCAAAACGGTGAGCATTTGCGTGATTCATAGGATCATTTAAAAGAAAAAACCCACTGTAAATGTACACGTGCTCTCATAGTGACTCAGACCCTTTTCATCTTCACGTTAGGCAAAGGTAATTAAACTGTCAATTTTGCATTTCAAAAACGCAGCAGTCACCACATTCCCCTAACGTCGAGGAATATCTGTCATTTGCGATGACTTCTGAATGGTTCATTTCCTTTTCTGAACCTTTGATTTGTGCGAAGACCCATGTTAATAAAGCACCCCCTCCCCTCACGCTCTTCCACATGCTGTCTCAAAATGAACATCTCCAATTAGACACAAGCAATCATTCATTTGATGACTTACTGCTTACATTCATTGTTGCAATCTGCATGAGACAATTCGTCGTACCTTGTGGGAAATCTAACTCTTAATCACTGTATGAGAATAATTACACCTCCTATGCGTTTATGCTGATAAACTCATAATTTGGCACTGTGAGCTTCGGCTTCATCAAATTTAAGACCAGACAGATTAAAAACAGATAAAACCGCAACCCGAATCATAAAAAACGTCAAGAATAATGAATTCACTGTCATTCAAAACACTTGAGTTAGCAGCTAGCGCTAGCGCTAGCTTAGCTTTGTATTTAGATATTTTGTTCCTCAATGCGATTGACTCAAGCACACAAACAATAACATGAGACTTGAGGGGATTTCTGTGTTCGTTTGTGCCGGGATACAAAGCCTAAAAGGCCTTTGTTTCCATACCGTACGCTACTATGCTACCGTCTCCCCCCTCATTAAATTAGAAATGAATAGGAAACAATTGAGCTATAATTGATAGGCCTCTCCGTTCGTTCTCCTCACAGACTCTCTTTATCAGCCACGTAGTGACAAAAATCACAATGGCTGTCTTCTCCGCCACCTTTTCAGTTCATTCAGGCTTGGACTGGTACCATTGTTCTGGCCCGGGCCTGATAAGGCACCGATAATGTTAACCGGTTATCGCATTTGCAGAAAAGAGGGCAAAATAAAAGACCCGAGACAGCCGGCGAATTAGCGACTTTGATGAATCGTCGGTTTGAACATGAGAGATTAGCATACTGATTGGACTGATTATTTGTAATTACAGTTGGAAGTGAAAGCGGGCCGCGCCGGATAGCACTCGTTTCTGTTCCAAGCAACTGAAATTGTGAGCTTTGTAATGACGTTGAATTAATCTTTCTTATCCTCCTCGCCAGGTTAAAATTATTGCAAATCAGGGTTTTTGTTTGAAAAATTTAATTGTGAAACGGCAGCAGACGGTTTTTCCCGAGTACATACTTCAGGGTCTTCTCCGGGGTGGACACATGGCAGCATCTTGAGATATGCGATAAGGGAAATCTACATGAATTTGGGCAAGCGTTTTCACCCGAGGTACAGCGAGTGTCCTTCAAAGCCATCTGCTAGCATTTGCACCACCTAATTAATTTGTCCTTCACAGGATGTGTTGGTACAGGCAGGGGAATACAGATCCTGACAGATGCTGAACACAAGACAGTCCCGATGCTCGGGGGGATGCTATGCGCCATCTAGAGAATATCGAGACACCTAGCAAGTTTAATCAATCATGATAGTGCATGAAGTTGTTTTGAAGAAAGAGAAACTCAAGCTGAGGTAAAAAACTGGGCCTTCAGCATTGGGTACATTTACATAATATTACATTTCTTACACAGACGACTAGCAGCAATCATTTCTTTGTACATTCTAGATGAATGATGTTTAGTTGAGGATGTCAACTGAAATCACAGCCCCTATCATCTCAGATACCACTAGGGAAACTGGCCAAGAGCATTATCATATATCACAGTCTGTAAACAAGCTCTGCCTGTAGCACAAACCAGTGCAGATTGCATCTCCTGGATCCATTTATAGACACTCCCATCTCCAATGCTTCAAAAGAACCACGACAGATGACATTAGAGTCAACAGAAAGAGGAAAATCAAGTCTGCCGTTCATCTTGCAAGTTGTTGGAAAAGCTCTGCTTTCCATTGGGATTTGGTAGACATTTGTTTATAAGGTGTAATTCTGGCATCTGAAATGCACATTAGTAACAGAATTCTAACACGTTTTTAATCCATGAAATTAATTAAATGTTAAATGCAATCACATTAAACTGATTTGGAATTATGATGGTTGACATTGTGGTTGATATTTGGCATTATACAACATTAAAGTCCTCAAAAACGCTGATTCAAGTAGCTGAATTCAGAATAGCATACTACTCTTATTATTTATGTCATGTCTTCGAGCCGGTCTCATGAAAATGCGTATCAATTGCACAATTATTATTTTTTTTTTTTTGTGCAGAAACGGACTTTGGCGTGCATACGATACGCACTTTGTTGGCGTGCATATAATACATATTTTGGTGTACATATAATACGCACCTACCCCACACCCCTAAACCTACTAATTGCATATCATATGCACGCCAAAGTTCATTTTTACATATAAACAGTACACCAAATAGAAACAGAATTCATGAAACATTCATGAGATCGGGTTGTGTCTTCATGTGACAGAAATAGTAAAAGTAGTATGCTAGTGTGCTATTCAGAATTCAGCTACTGTTTTTATGAATGAGTCATTGAATCATTTACTCAACCTATTTGTTCAAAACACTGATTCATTTATTTACCAAAGCCGAATCTTCAAAATGAATAAAAACTGTCATCGTTACATAATCATATAATTTTTATTTATCTGGAACAAACACATGCTATAAAACGATCTTACAATATACTATTATATAGATTCATACTAAAACTGTCACTGTTAAGGTGCTCAAAATATCTATACAATAGAAAAACGTAACTATACAGGTATATTTATAAAATAAAGGATTCGTAAAGATTTTAACATTTCTAAAGCTGTGCATTCAAATACCTTAACTTTTTAGGTCCTGTGGTATTTCAACATCTCCACATGTCAAAAACATACGTGAAACCGTTACATATGAACACCTACAAATAATAATGAGATCAGACTGAAATATCAAACTCAAATGGGTTTAATCATTACAAAATTACTTTTAAAGGGGTCATATGATGCGATTTCAAGTTTTCCTTTCTCTTTGGAGTGTTACAAGCTCTTGGTGCATAAAGAAGATCTGTATCTTTAAAATAGCATCATATGACCCCTTTAAGTTCACTCAGATCTAGTTCACAGAGGTCAAAACATAATTTTTAGATGGCAGATATTAATATTACAGACATGGAGACTGAACCATGTTTTGGTGCAATATATCATCAGATTCAGAATAAGAAAAATTAAGGAATAGTAAAGGTTTAAATTAAACTGACACACAGATCAGAGTATACATTCATGCAACCGCGCACACACATACGCTAGTTCTCAATCTCTGTATCTAGGTCTTGCTATATTTGCCCAGTTTTGCTTTCCACAGCACTTTTTCTGAATAATTACTCCCTTTTGAGTTATGAGCAATACTCCCAGCAAATGCACTGGTTTTTAGAAAGAAACATTCAGCGTATTGAGGTCAGAAGAAGCCTAGAGATTATGTCTATGCAGATACATGATTACATTTCTGCATTTATAATAGCTGCAATGAGACTCAAATGGATAAGAAGTGGAAAACACCAAAGAACTTTTCATATGTCACAAGTCCTGGTTTTGTTTTTAGAGAACAGCTGCTTTCAAAAGACAATTTACTCTAATGAATGGCACATCATCTTAATATTGCAGTGCATTACAGGCTGTCATTAAAATGGAGGAAAAACCTTCTCATTTACTCTAATAAATTGAGCAGAAGATGGAGTGGAAGTCAAAAATAACTCGCACCTCAACCCTTAGTTCAACCAGTTTACAAGACGCCTCCTTTCATGACAGCCTGAGGTCAATGAAACATAATGATGATATTAAACAATCTCTGCTTACATGCTTTTAATACATTATCTAATAATAAAATGAACATGTGAATAGACTCATCTTGCCTCAGGCCAATAATGAACCAGCGTCTAGTCCGAACAAGATGCAGGTATCAATTACGTGGTGAATTTACTAGCTTGACAGAAAAGATTCTAATTTGATAATGAACGAAATAGACGGCACATAGAAACACAATCACTTTACAAGCTAGATAAGAGAAGAACAGTTTATAAAGGATTTGAGTAGGTGGAATAATGAATTGAGAAAAAAATACAGATAGTCAAATGGAAGGGGATTTGAAGCATGATCCACTAAAACAACCCAGAGAACTTACCTATATATGTACTATGAGTATGATGGAAGATCTGCATTCCCTCAATTCATTTTCACTCCATTGCCAGTCCCAAAATAGAGCAGTTGGCAAATAGGTGCAGCAACACACCTGATTCTTAGTGTGCCCTAAATCCTTCTCTTTCACTTGGTCTTGCTTTCTTTTTCTCAAATGGTGCTAGAACTTTCTCAGAACTAACTTAACATTTTGCAGCCAATTTTTGCAATTACTTTTAATCAACAAAATAAAAACCAGTGCTCCTCAAGTTCACACACAAGGTCTTAGCAGACAGGTGTAGCCCATCACATTAACTATGGACATGTTTGATGACATCACAATTTGCAGTAGCCCCTCACTGTGGAACACAAGATCCAGGGGGCGTGGTTGGAGCCACATCTAGGGGGTGGAGATTGGTAAGTTAAGGGGTGGAGATGGGTGGGTTTAGGGATCGGGGGTGGAGACGGGTAGGTTTAGGTATATGTAAGGTGGGAGGAGTTGGATCTGGATCCAACCACGCCCCCTGGATCTTGTGTTCTGCAGTGAGGACCATCTCACAATTTGGGCAAATTAGAGCATTCTGGGAAATTAAGTGTTCTTCCAACACTTCAAAAATGGCCATAAAATGATTCACAGGTTATATACAAATTGTTGTAGAATATATTTACCCCGTATGTTGTGTGTATGATAACATTTATCATAACGTTGACATGAAAATATTTTTTTTAAATGTTAAAAATAAAATGTTAAGTTGGGTGCACACTGTACAATTTTGGCCTCAATTTGGCTGTCTAAATGCAAAACATTCCTCTTATCCTAGTTATCCTAGTCAGTTGCTAGTTTGACATATTCGCCGACAACCGAATAATGAGCACTGCGATCAGATTATACCTCTGATGAAATTCTGTCAATGTCAGATGTTTTGAGGCAGAGTCCTGCAGTGTGGCTTCTCCTACTACGACTGTCAAATAAAAAATCATTACGAGCACAGAACCTGATGACGCAATTAGTGCGACATCAACAAACTACCACTTGCTCCAAACACATCGTCTTCATTTTTGTTCCATTTTTCTTTTCCATGATCAAAATTAATGCTAGAGATTAATGCTATTTTTGCTTGCAATTCCATATGAATGCAACTCACAATCACCAAACATGTCACGAATTGACGAGGTAAAACTCTAGACCGAGTCTTTGCGTGTGTCCATTTTTAGACTGTTACCGTCTGACATTAATGACAACTAAGATCCAACAGTGTGATATGGCTTATAGCTGGGATCATGTTCGTACATTCTGACAAGCAACAATCGTATAACCATATAACCTCTGTTTCTTTTCTAAATGTCTAAATTGCCCAAAATAGCTGGGTTTTGGCTTTGTTTTACTAAAGAAGTGCTTTCTACAGTCCTTATAAACTATATGTACACATATTTGACTCGACTTGTTCTCTGTAGATCCCAATTTTTAGTTTTGCGACATGACCTTCTGCCCCTCTGGACTGCCTATTAGCTTACATCTTATGGACCCTGTTTTATTTTTAATTAAAATAAAAGGTTTTCCAAGACATATATGCACTGATCCCATCTTCACACCCAACGCAAGTTACTCAAGAGCACTCAAGTTACCACAAGTGTCTGGAGCCAAAGTAATGTGGCGCCAAAGTATGTCCAATACACTGGATACAAATGCAACAAGTCTCATTTATAGACTCTCTTGCATCGACTGATTTTGGTTATGATTCCAATCACAAACACAACTTTTATTGAGCATAATTAGCTGAATCAATACCTCCATGTAGGACTGTTTGTCTTGCTGTCAGGTAATCTGATTAGTCTGCACGCAGAGTGACCCGGCATTTACTTATACACTCACATCCTTTCCTCAAATGAATCTTTTATTGATCACAGAAGTGCATGTCTGACTCTTGCATTATACATCCTGCAGTTTGTGCACTTTTAGAGTGATTTAACACTGTATTTATCGTAGAATAAAGTGCCATATTTCAATTAAATTCCTTTTAGTTCAAAAGAGAAGCAGTGGTATTAGTGTTCTTTTCTGAACTCAGTGCTCTGCCAAAATGTTGATTGCATATCAAACGATAAGATAAAATAAATCAATAACCTGCCACAATGTGGAATATCAAACATCAGTCTTCTTTCTGCAATAAAAGTCCGGCGATCACACTTCTGGTTCCTATAAAGTCTGAATCAGCCAGTTCAATCTTCTTGAGTGGATCTCTTAATTTATTTTCATTCGCTCTTAATTTTTTCATGGCTTCAAAGGGATTTCAAAAGGATTTCTGTGAGAGGGGCGCCATCTGTGCTCCTCAGGCTGTCAGACCTCACACCTCCATAAAGTTTTTCACGGAGAAAGAAAAAAAGTGGAAGACCAGCCATATTCATGTTCATAAAATTAGTCTTACTTTCTGCACTAAAAACATTTGTGAGTATTGGAGCTTGAGGAAGAAAGGAAACTCCATATGGCTGATTGGCACATGCCATTTCATGCTTATGAAATCCAGCACTCAGAATATTGGTGAGCGAATCTGAACAATGTGCACCACTATAGTGGATGCAATTATTTTAAAAGGAAAAAACTGAATGAATTAATTTTCTTTTTTAAATCAATATCAAAATTTTAGGTTGAACTATGAATGCATGATATAGTATATATTTTAGCATATATTCATGAATATTTTTTAGTAATTAGCTAGCATTAACGATGAGAAATTCATTTGTTATTATATTTATTAATCTTTGTTAACATTAGTTAATAGAAATACAACTGTTCATTGTTAGCTTAGGTCCATTAATAAATAATAATGATAATAATATTAACAGACACAACTTTTAATTTTAATAATGTATTTGTAAATGTTGAAATTAGCATTAACTAAGATTAATAAATGCACTTTTCATTGTTAGTTCATGTTAACGAATTAACTAATGGTAACGAATTTAACTTTATGGCAAAGTGTTACTATCCTACCATATATTACCATATACCATATACTAGTTCATTTTAAACGGTTCAGCGGTGTAACAAATTAGTTTTTAAAAATGCAAATATTCCCTTTAATCTCTCAATATGAGCTCATAAAACTGCATGCATAATAATTAGAATTAATGAGCAAAGTGATGTTTATATGGAATACAGCATGTCACACCGCAGGACGTCAACTACCCAAATGCATTCACTTGAAATACTCGGATGCTTTTTTCATCAGATTTGAGTTCATGCAAATTCATCAACAGAGTATGTATGGACCTATTAATCATGAGACTTTTTGAATGCATAAATGTAAATAGAGAAAAAAGAGGTCACTTAGGCTCATTTAATCCAATTGAAACCCCGATTAGTCTAAAGAGATTGTGTTTGAAGGATACATGAGCAACAAAAAGAAACATGTTCTGTGTGTTGCCATCCTTTGCTCTTGCCGAGGCTTTGAGCGAATCTTTAGAGGGCATTTTGAAGGATTGGTGAGCTACAAAAGAGTTAAACAACAATGAGAGGATCTATGAGGCGTGCCAAGAAAACATCTCACCTGTGCTGGATCAATACAGCTGAACTGAGCAGCTGTTGAAGAGAAGAAAGCTTTTAGCTGAGCATTATCTTTTGCCATAAAACATTACCGTTTCCTTTCTGAATCAACATCCATCAAGCTGCCAAATGTCTGCAAATCATGACCTATTCAAAACAAAAGAACAATAATAATGCAGCAGAACTGATCCAAAATACCCAACCCTTACTAGTTTCCATTAATGTCAGTGTGTTACTCCAGATTCTCACTCTGGATAATTGCTTGAAATGGTATTTGAAACACAACAAAATCTGTACAAACAAATTGAACATTGCTTTCTTTTGAAAGGAATAAAAAGAAGACAAAATGAGGCTGATAAGTGTGTGAGTGTGTTTGTGTGTGAGCCGTTGGCATGTTGTCAGCTCAGCTAATTATAATTGTGCTTCTCCTCCTGTGTGCTCACGTTTTTGACTGCCAAAACTTGCCTGTGCTAAAAACTGCACCTTAACAAACCAATGAGAGCTGAGAGGGCCAGAAGGGGGTTTGAAATGCGTAGCACACCTGCTGAGATCTGAGCATGGAGGCTGAATGGATTTTCAGTGGGCCGTGCACAACATGCAATGTTAGAAAATGAATGCCCTCCATCACGCATTACTGATTTTTTTGCATAAAATGAAACTTTCCTTAACTTTGACACTGGACATCAGTTGCTGTCCTTCATGTTGCTAAAATCACCAACTCTGACTTCAAGGAACAGTTCACCCAAAATTGAAAACTTGCTGAAAATGTACTCACCATCAGGCCATCCAAGATGTAGATGATTTTGTTTTTCGTCTGTACAGAAATTTAGCATTATATCACTTGTTCACCTATGGATCCTATGCAGTGAATGGGTGCCGTCACTTCAGACAGCTGATAAAAACATCACAATAATCTACAAGTAATCCACACCAGTCCATCAATTAATGTCTTGTGAAGTAAAAAGCTACATGTTTATCAGCTGTTTGGACTCTCATTCTGACGGCACCCATTCACTGCAGAGGATCCACAGGTGAGCAATTGATATAATGTTACATTTCTCCAAATGTTCTAAAGAAGAAACAAACTTACCCACATAGCCTGAGGGTGAGTACATTTTCAGCAAATTTTTGTTTTGGGGTGAATTATTCCTTTTAGGTCCCTTTATCTCTGCCTATGCTGCAGTCTCTTTATGTGACACAAAGTCACCAAACCTGCCAAGATCTACAGCTGTCCTTGTTTATTTTTCTCTGACTTCTGTCTATGCAAATATCTCTCCTTGCCTGCAAATTATTCCTTTTGTTCTCAGTGTGTGCAAGTATTGTTTTCCTGAATATAAAACATGAATCCGTAATGCCGTGTGGAGGATTAGAGCTGTTGCCGTGTTTGGAGGAGAACTGCCTTATTTTTAGGTTGACTCCATCTCCATGCACAAACAGCTGCTTACTGTGGGATTAAGAGCCATTGTTCAATTAATCTCAACATGGGCACTGATGTCTCACATTATAAGCCTTTAATTATGCCAGACACTGTTTAAGACTTTGCCTCCAATATATTATAGTTTCAAAACACTCACAGTGGGATCTCTGAATGCACAAGAACAATTGAAAAATGGAACAGTTGTTTTGCAAATTAAAAGACATAACATTAATTATTTTAATATTATTTTTGCTTTCATACTCGGGAAAAAATTGGTATATATTTGTTTTACAGTTCAGATGACCTGACCCCAAGAATAGCAAAA